CCAGCAGATAATATTTGTGGTTGACCAATCTGTACCTTTGCTTTGTGCTAATCTTTGGGCTCTGTTTGCAGAATGATAAAGTATATTTACTTTTCACGACGATTTAATGGAACAAGCTAGGATCTGACACCGTGCGAAGTCCAGTCTTTTTTTTTCTTTTGAACCTCAGCTTTATCTTTGTGGCTTGAAAAGAATAACGGGAATCCAGCTGTTGCGATTTGTAAACCCTGGTTTAGGTTTAGCAATGTGAATGAAGTCCATTCCAGTTTATTCAACAATCCTGGGTTAACTTACCATTGCTTTTGTGCATTGTTGAACGCAGGCGTAACCTGGCTTGTTGAGCTTGGCTTGGCTTACTGAACTACCTAACCCAGCTTGTGAGAACAAACCTGGGTTGTAGTATGTTGTATGATCCCATGGCTTGTTCAACATACTACAGTGAAAACACAGGGACGCTGAGCAATCTCGGTTTTTTGCTTAATCTTTAGGATTAAATATGTGGTTTCCAGCATCTGATTGGCCTCGGTCCTGTGTGTTTAAAGGCATCCTGGGACCGATTGCAACTCAGCAATCCAAATTCTGCCAAATGTCCCAACCCTCATGAATTATGCAAGGTAATCAATTTTGCAGAGGTCGACTTATTTTGCATAATTGATTGTGCTTGTGCCACGGCAAGGAAGCCAGCCCCAGGAACTTTATTAATTGTTCAAGCATTTTTCTTCGCGGTAACAGAAATCCTGATTTTGTGTCCAGAAGGTCAGCAAAGAATGCCCATAGGTGATGTTTCTCTTTCCAGGGGACGTGGTGGTCATGAGGACCAGAACCTTGGGCTTTTAAAACTGGGACTGAGTGCCTGAGAGCGCTAGGTCCGGGTTGATGCCAAAAAGGGGTAGAGTTTGAAATCTTTGTTGATGCTGTGACTGTGCATAGCACATAAAGTGAGATAAGCAAAAAGTAAAATTGGATAAAGAGGAAGAGCAAATATTTAGAGTATTTATTGAGTGAGAGGGGTGACTACATTTGAAATATAAACCAATCAATAAAGAACGAAGCAACTGCAACTTTCATGGTCTTGGCCCTGCTGGTGCCCGCCAAGGGTGCAGGATTTTCCAGCCCCATCATCCCCAGACAGAGAGTCCAGTGATATCAATGGACCAAAGCGTAGAAGCCTTTACTTCCCTTCTGTTGGGGGGCAGCCCTGCCTAAAAAGTGGTCTCGCTGGCGTTATTTGCCCAACGGCTAATCCGTGGCGTCCTGCGCATCTGCTGGGGGAGCAAATGGCAAGATGTGGCTTGCGATGCGCTTGTCTCTTTTGCTCCTGGTTTGCGGGTTTTGCTCGCAGCCTGGAGATGAGGCGTGGACCTTGCACCGCAGCGTCGCAGCACATGCCATGTCGTTTCTGACGGAGCCACCGACTTCACCACACACCTGGTTCCGTTTCCTTTCCTCCGGCTTGACTTCGCCCATGTTGAAGCACAAATGAGCCACGTCAGTTGTGATTGCACGACACCCCGACCAGCAAATGAGCAAGCCCCCCATTAGGTTAGCACAGTGTTTCTCAGCCTTGGCAACTTCAAGATGCGTGGACTTCAGCTCCCAGAATTCCCCAGCCAGCATGCTGGCTGGGGAATTCTGGGAGTTGAGGTTCATGCATTTTATAGTTGCCAAGGTTGAGAAGCACTGGGTTAGCATGTCGGTGAGTGCGGGGCTTCATCGGTCACTCTGCGATTCTGCCTTTTGCAGTTGCACATTTGGGAGGAAATGCATCTCTTGGAAATACATAAAATGCATAAAATGGCCTGCCGTGGGGGCTTTAAAATCAGGACTTCGTTCTGCATCCCGGGCATTGTTGACTCACCAGCTGGAAAACCTTTTTACTTTCATATAATTCATACTGCGAACAAGTGTGTTTGGCCTTCGATGGAGAAAGCTTGGATAAGTTTTGCAGACTTTCTACACTAAAAAGCTTGAAATCTGCATTTGGGAAGTACGGCACACAGTTTTGTTTTTTTTAATTTCAGAAGCCTCTACTCCAGTGTCTCTCAAACTTGGCAACTTCAAGATGCGTGGACTTCAGCTCCCAGAATTCCCCGTGGTGGCTGGGGAGTTCTGGGAGTTGACATCCACACATCTTAAAGTTACCAAGTTTAAGAAACACTGCTACTCTCTCTGATCTCATTCCTGTAATATGGCATTCAAGCTCTATAATTGATGCCCGCTAAGGACCAAAGTGGGTGTCACTCGGTGGTGGCGTTTATACACTATGCTAAGCCACAGTGTATTGATTAACCAGAGTTGGCTGCGTTCCCACAAATTGCTGGCCCAGAACTCACCCACTAGATTGTGGCTTTGCTGGTTATGTTAATCTGGCCATTGTGATTGATGCTTTGAACAAATGCCTTTGTTCCTTGTGCTAAGTCAACTATTACTGTTTCTTTAATAAATCAAGGTTAAACTAATCATGGTTTAGCCCAGCGCACAAAATCTAGCTGTAATTGCAGAAATCCACTCTATGCATGCTCAGAGAACTGTACTCCATGTTCTTTTTTTTGTTGTTTTTAAATATGAATTGCATTGAAAACTAGACTCATGCACGGCACACCAAACGTCCAAATCAGTTAAAAAGATCAGATTGTAGTTGATGGGACAACCCTCGCTTTGCGCAGAAGCCCAAAGGTGGTTGCTGGGCAGAGATAATGTTTGGTTAGATCAGTGTTTTTTAAACCTGGGCCCCACGATCAAGGTGGGGGGGGAGGTTCAAGCGACCACTACCTAG